CTCTTCCATTTTGCTTAAATTTGAAATGCATGTAAGTGCTGGGTACCCATTTAAGGAAATGCAGTGTATGGTATTCATTATGCTAAAATTAAGCAGCATTTATCTCTTCTGCCAACTTTTACATCCCTTTTTTCTCAAGGCCTCTCTAGTTTCTTGGGGAGAAACTAGCAGGAACATTTAGGGATGCTATAACAAAAGACAGTTCATTCTCTGGAGAAGACCTGTACATGTATACCATGGTTAGCTTAGTTTATCTAATACAGCCAAAACTTTGAGTTGAGATGGAATTAAGACTTAAAACCTATTGAATTTGCAAAAACCAATTTATCTTGCTTTGAAATGAGTTGATACATATCCCTGAGCTAATTTGCAACACACGAAGTCACTTAAAACCCTCTAAAAATTTATTCATCTAGTACTACATTTATTTTGATTGTAAAAATTTATGGAGTCGTGTGAGTAGAGGTACAAATACTTTCACCCTTTTATATCATTTTGTGCCGTGTTTGGATTTAGAAATTTGCCTTAAATTATTTTTTTTTCAAATTAACAACTGTTAAATTGTCTTGACAGCAGAAATGGTTCAATTTAGTAACACTCTTTTTGTTAATTATTTTATCTAGATACCAGTGAATCACACACTCCAGGTAAGATTAAGTGAACATGGTTACATTAGTGATAATGTCTATCTAGTTTTTGCAGCTAGAAAACATTTGCAGAAATTTGGTACACACAGGATATATATATCTTATTAGACGTTTTGTTGTGTAGCATCGCTGAGTATTTTTACGAGATGTGCCGTATTTTGACGAGCCCGTAGGACGAGTCAAAATACAAATAACGAGTAAAAATACTCAGCGATACCTACAAAATGACATTACGATTTGAAACTATTCTTGTTCTCAAGTGGCTCTCGTGATTTTGATTGATTTTGGTTAACAGTACGCAATATCAATTTCATATTTGACAGGCAATCCTGGTAAAGGTAGCTTTATGGCTACGGCTCCATCGCCATTTGTGTCTACGAAAGAGACTGCGAACTATGCAATGCTATGCCGCCTTCTGGTGAGTGTTGGATCCCAGGTACTGCGGTCCACTTTTGACAAGATACATCCACCAGCGACTCTACGCAGAGTTTTGGGAGGAACCTCTGTGCATTACGCCACATTACAATCACTGTACAAAGGGAAGAAGAAAGTGCTGAATTCCATGCAATGGGCGAAGTTGTATCCCGCTCATTCACCCGTGTCCTCAGCAACCTTCGATATCACACTTCTAACGGTGCTGCTGAGAAACATCTGTGGTTTGAGCCCTCCTGCCACAGGATGGGATCATCTTCCCCCAGCTTCAAACACAAGCATCGCAGATGACATTGCTAGATTGAAGTATTACAGAAACACTGTACACGGCCACGCCTCTCAAGCTTCTGTGGATGACATTAGCTTCAGTGCTTACTGGCTGGAAATACGAGAAGCTCTTGTGAGACTGGGAGGAGCGCATTTTCAAGCCTCTATCGACAATCTTGAACACGACTGCATGGATCGGGATATCGAAGAGCATTATTGTGAACTGATGAAGCAGTGGAAGAAAGACGACGATAGCATCAAGGACAAACTTGAGGAGATTGAAGGTAAAGAAAACATTTTCCATTGCCACATGGATAGTCATATGGTCTAAAAAGTGCCTAGATATATAGTTTTTCACACAGTAGCGTAGGATAGCTCTTGACTTATTCGATTTGGTGGCGTTGTCAGGGAAAAACGAAGAAAATGAAGAGTTTATTCAAATATTGGTGCTTTCTGTTCATAGTTGGTATTCTTGTGTATTTATTGAAATGTAACAGACTGTTGGAGTACATTAATTTTGCGTGATTTCTTAGCGTCTTCTTTAAAATGCGAAATGAGATTGTTGTACAGAGCACGTATACCGCCAAAATCTAAACAGACCCCTCACAGCCTTCTAATTTCGATCGTTCAGGTTAGTTTATTCATATTAAATTTAGGAAGGCCATTGAATCATTCAAGCTGGACATTTAGTAATATTTAGCCTGGCACAGTAACACACCAAGTGGTAGTCAAACCCAAAGACACCCTTTTAAATCTGCATTTTTTTAGTACGATTCTACCGAAATAAACAGTTTACATTTAAAATATTGTGGGATAACACGTGTGAATATTGAAAAACGTTTAATTACGTAGAGAATAATACAGGAACACGCATAGATACAGAATTGCTCCCTAATTTAAAACTCGTTATCACACGGGTGAGCGAAGTGAAAAAGTAAAATATAGAGTTAAAAACTCGAAGAGAAATTTCTTAGCTACAAGCAGCTGTAAATTATTGTATTTCCTTCATAAACACCATAGGCCTGTACTGGCAAATTCAAAATCGAACTAGGATTGAGAATGGCGAATTATTTTAATGGCATCAAAACCCGAAACTGTAAGATGTACTTATGAAATTTTGCATACCTCTTGCACATTTCCAGAGTCGCTAGAAAAGATGAGAGCCATGTGGAGAAAACAATTGAAAAGCTTGGTAGTCTGACGGCCTCAGAGGAAAAAAACGCGGATCAAGGTTAGTTGACAGAATGAGCTACGCACAGCAAAAAATTAGGAATACCGATACCGGTCTCTTGATTTCATTCCGCATCTCATGACCCTGATGACAGTTTTCGCTTATTTCGGGCAATTCTGCAAATCTTTTGGTAACATACTGATTTAAGACCACATCTTGGCCAGCACCTGCACTGGCTACACATGAAGATACGATGTTAAACACAGTGCTTTCAATAAGATCCGGCACCCGCCCGAGCTCTGGCGGGTATTCTGTTGTGAATCGCCGGGTATATTTCACCGCGTTTAAGTCGAATTCAAACAAAAAAGAAAATATAAATGGTAATTAATACATAATTGGACTATTCACTTCATTCAGATGGTTTCTTTCTGTTTGATTCGCTCATTCACTGACGGCTTTATGTCGTTAGATGTGACCCAAGCCATTTACTTCTCTGTGTCACGTGCTTTTGCATAAATTAAATTCATCAAGTGCATAGTAGAAATACACGCCACATCGTCAGTTACTGAAATAACTTTAAAATAACTGTGCTGTACTAGATTGATCAAATAATTTCCGACAAATGAAACAAAGATAGTTACTTCTCAAGTTTTAGTAAAACGCATCTCTGAGGCTTAACTAATGAGAGAGAAAGAAAAACAGCCATTGAACACTTGAAGTCTAATCTTTAGTTGAAATAAACGCTACTTTTGCTGTTTGAAGCGATAAAGTGTAGGGCTCGAAATTGCGACCAATACAGTCGCATTTGCGACTTAATTTTTATGTTTGCGACTAAAACTTCCCGAGGAGTCGCAAATTTGCGATGAGAATAAAAAAGCTAGCAGTCGCCACTTTGCCACTATTTTTGCCGAAATACATAATGAAATGAAAAAATATATTGTCGTGTGCCTTGATTATCAAAAACATTTGAAGATATAAGGTAAAATTGTGCCTAATTTATCCACAATGTTGTGCACGGAACGCCGTTACGGCCGCCATTGCAGCGGTCTCTTATTTCATATGTATTCAGGCTCATATTTTTGTTTGTTAAACCGCTGAATTAGAGCTGACCCTTGCGTTCTTGTTCAGTGATTCCAAAGGGTGTTTACCATTTACGGAAAACATGTTTACCATTTGCATTCCTCGTGGTTTTGCCTCCCTCCAGTTTCTCAAAGTCCTGTTAATCATTGGTTAGTTGAAGTTATTTATTAACTAATTGTGGTTAATTATTTTTGCGACTAAAATTCGTGAACTTGCTACTATATTTACGTATCAAGTCGCAAAATGGCGACTGCACTTTTCTTTTAATTTCGAGCCCTGTAAGTGACAATATTATTTCGTGTAAAAACTGACATCAAGCAGTATGGTTGCTTGTTAACAAATAGAAGGTTGCTTGTTTGCTGAAACAAACAAAATTTAATTCGTAGCAATTAACTCCTGCCTTTTGTCAGCGTTAATTTTGGCAGCTAAGTGTTTGTCAGTGTTTAAGCAGACGAAGAATGATCTTCAAGTTTATCATTTCTAACTTGTTGCATGCCAACTGGGGCTGATCTTAGTTCCAAATGGCTCGTGTTCCGTCTATACACCGAAACTGGGTTCCTGTAACTGCAAAAATAGTTCGTCTCATTCCGAGGTAGCAGTGTAAAATGAATCCGTAGCGGGCACTCCGGTCTTCTTCAGCAAAGTAACTATCACTCCA